TCCACTGCCAACAGTTAATTATAGCCCATTAGCAATTGACTTGGTTGCTCTTCCTTGTTTCCTTTCCTGATTTCCCTTTTTTTCAGTGGCTGACCTTTCTGTCTCCTTTGCTGGCTTCATTACCACTCCAGTCCTTAAATGCTAGAGTACTTCAGGGCTCAGTCTTTAGATAATTTTCTCAAATTTTTGTCTACACTTAATATCTAGATCATGTCACGGCTTTTAATACTAGGTGCTTGTGTCTCCCACATTTACATATTCAGCCTAGACCTTTCTTCTGAACTCCAGATTCAATATCTAACAGTCTTGATAGTCCCATGTGCTAATTTAATAGGTATTTTATTTTATTGTTTGTTTGTTTGTTTGAAGTAGGCTCCATACCCAGTGTGGAGTCCAATATGGGGCTTAAACTCATGGCCTTGACATCAAGACCTGAGCTGAGCTCAAGAGTCAGACACTTAACCAACTAAGCCACCCAGGTGCCCCTTAAAAGACATTTTAAACTCAACATCTCCAAAACTGAATTTCTTATTGCTTCCCATTCCCATCCTGCTCCTCCCAGTCTTTGCCATTTCAGTAAACGGCAGCTCCATTCTTTAAACTGCTCAGTCAAAAAATACTGGGGAGTCCCCTTAACTCCCCTTTTGCTTACACCCTGTATCAACCAATTTATCAAATCCTATGTGCCATCTTGGCTGAATATATCCAGACACCTTACCACTCCACTGCGTGCACTTTCCCCAAGCCCCCATGGTCTCACTTGCAGAATTGCAATAGCCTCCTAATTGTCCCTCTTGCTCCGTTACAATCTATTCTCAAAACTCCCTTACTCTCAAAAACAGAAGCTATAGTGGTTCTTTAAAAATAGAAGTAAAATCATTTTACCTCTCTGCTCAAAACCTTCCAATGGCTTCCCCTCTCAGTAAAAGCCAAAATTCTTACAATGCCCTGTAAATCCCCACACAATTTGGCATCCTGTTACCTTTGACCTCATTTCCTACTTTTTGCCTGCCACACTCTGCTTCTGTGGCTCTGGCCTCCTTTTTGTGCTTAGAATGTAGCAGACATCTTCTTCCCTCACAATGACTTCTGCACTTGCCATTCTTTCTACATGAATGTTCTTCTCTCAAGATGGGCATTTCTTGCTCCCTCACCGCCATCAGATCTGTACTCAAAGTATGTTTCTCAGTGGGCCCCCACCCTCACCTGTCCTATTTAAAAAGAAACCTCTTTCCCTATCCTCAGCACTCCTTTTTTCTCCCTTACCGCTTCATTTTCCCCCCATAACACTTATCCTACCTGACAGTTTATCCTTCATTTGCTATTTTATTTTCTATCTCCTACGAGAACATGGATTCCTCCCCCCACCCCCGCTTTGCTAAGTGTTTGGCACATAATTGGTGCACAGTATTTCTAAGCATGTGAACACTACTTAAAATGCACTTATAATCTCTGCTTCATGTTTGGTGCTAGCTTCATAAGCATTTGAGCATGTATCCCTGAGGAAGATGAGGCTGACTGAATAGAAACACTGTCCACTCAATCAAGACTATGATATCCATCTTTGTAAAGGAGACCAATGCAGAGACGAGGAATTCTAGAGGGTCAGATTTCAACGGCTGTCTTGGTACCAATAAGCCATGTGACATTGGGCAAATAAGTTTTCCTTTCTGGCCATTTATTTCCTCCCCTGCCAAATGGATCATTGCTTTGAATGATCCCATAGGGTTTCTGAGAATGTAAGATGAAAGATGAAATGTTGGGTAGGAAATGATGTGTCTTATTAATTTCTCTAGTACGTACAAAGATATACTTAGCTGGCATTTTAAGATTTTAAAACTTTTAAGATTTTATATATTTGAGAGAGAAAAAGAGAGAGAGAGAGAGAGAGAAAGACAGAGAGAGCATGAGCTGGGGAAGGGCAGAGGGAGATACAGACGCCCTGCTGAGCAGGGAGCCTGACTTGGGGCTCAAGCCCAGGAACCTGGAACGGTGACCTGAGCCAAAGGCACACACTTAACCAACTGAGCCACCCAGGTACCCCTGGCATTTTATATTTTTTAAGGGCAATAAACATACCTGCAATCAAACCTCAGAGTTTCTTTTAGGGACCTTACACCATGTAGTGTAGTTTTGCTGTGTTAAGCCCTTATAATACTAGTAATTTGTGAAAGTTCTTGATGTCAGCATATTCCTTCTCCTGTCAAGACTTTTTTTTTTTTAAAGATTTAATTTACTTATTTGAGAGAGAGTGCACAAGCAAGAGAGAGGGAGAGAGAGCACAAGCAGGGGAGGCAGAGGGGCAGGAGAAGGAGAAGCAGACACCTGCTGGGCAGGGAGCCTGACATGGGGGGCTTGATTCCAGCACCAGGGGATCATGACCTGAGCCGAAGACAGACACTTAACTCACTGAACCACCCAGGCGCCCCTAAAGACTCACTCTTAACATCTGAATTGTTTTCTTTCAATATCCTTGTCCAAATGAGTGAGTAGTCAGTGACCGTGGATGTCCAGCTCCCATGGGAGTTTTGTTTCCTAATCATTTGTGTGTGTGTGTATGGTTGGTGAGCTTCCCTGCAGCCCATCTGTAAACCAGAACCTTGATTTTCTCACTGGTAAATGTGGTGAATAACAATTGGCTCATATTTATTTTGCTGGATACAATGATACATCAATACTCTACATAAAACAATAGTACAATGCTAGGGATATCTTAAAGCCTCCAATGGAGTATGTATTGAACTTCTATGTATGTATTGAACCGCCAGGGTCGCGTCCTAAAACAGTTCTTTTACCATATTACTATCCCCAGTCCAGGACCTGAAACAATTTGGCTTTCTTTTGGTCTCTAAGTCTTCCCCATCCTATTGAAAGCAGTCTCACAGGTGTGTGTTTACCCTTGTTCACAGCAGCATTACTCACCACAATCAAAAGGTGTAATTAACCCAAGTATCAACTCTGGTATATAAACACAATAGAATATAATTCAGCCTTAAAAACGAAGGAAATTCTGACACGTTACAACACTGAAGAACCACCAGGATCTTATGCTGAATGAGATAAGCTGGCCACGGAAAGACAAACACTATATGATTCCACTTATATCTGAGTTGTCAAATTTAGAGACTTAAGTAGAACGGTGGTTGCCAGGACTTGGTGGAGTGAGGAATGAGGAGTTGTTTATTAGGTACAGAACTGCAGTTTTAGAAGATGAAAAGAGGGGATACCTGGGTGACTCGGTTAAGTGGCTGCCTTCCGCTAGGGTTGTGGCCCCAAGGTCCTGGGATTGAGCCCCACCATTGGATTCCCTGCCCAGAGGGAAGCCTGCTTCTGCCTGCAGCTCCCCCTGCTTGTGCTCACCTCTCTTTCTCTGACAAATGAATAAATAAAATCTAAAAAAAAAAAAAAAAAAAAAAGGTGAAAAAGTTCTGGGGATGGGGATTCACAGCAATGTGAATGTACTTAACTTTACTGGCCTGTGTAGTTAAGAGTGGATAAAACGGTAGATTTTGTGTTATGTGTATGTCACCATAATTTAAAGTTTAAAAAAAAATTCACCATCTTATTTTTCAAACCTTTTTTTCCACTCTTCCCCTGTATCCCCCCTACCCCCACGCTTTTTAATTTACTGCTCTCTACATTGTACTCCCAGCGAAACACTTTCTTTATAGTCTTTGCCCCAAGGAGCTTCTTCTCTGGAATGCTTTCATCACCACCCAACCATTTTCAAAAGGTTGTCTGTGCTTTCGCCCCGAAGACAGATTACTTTTCCTAGATCGAACTAGAAGTCACACCCTCCATGACATGCCTGCACCTCCAGACCAGAGTCCTTTCCCTTTCCTGCACCGCAGAGAGGAGCGAACACAGGGCTTTACTGCTTTACGTGCGTCTCTCCGGCCGTAACATCTGAGTAACAGGGGCGTTGATCTCACCACCCTCCTGCACACTTCTCACACAAACACACTCCACCGCCACCGACCTCGGCATTCAAGAGCTCCCAGTGAAAACTCAACGCGTTGGGCATCGAGATGGAGGGAAGGCAACTCACACTCCCAAGGAGTGATTTCGTCGACGCAGTGTGTAATTTCACACAAAAGCTCTCGGTGTCAAATTACCTGCGAACATAGGGGTTTGACGCGGCAAAACTGCGGGTCCTTGGGGATCCTTAGAAGCAGCCCGATAATTTGCACAGCTTTCTACCCTCCGAAACACGTTCTCACGCATCCGAAAGTAATGCGAGAGGGAAGACCAAAGCAGCGTTATTTGTGGAGGCGCTCAAGTAAGAAAGGGGTTGTGGCTGGCCGTCTCAAGAGTCTCCGAAGCCACCACGGGCCGACCGCCCTCCAAGAAGAGCCAAAAACCGTTAAAAACGTTGTGCTTCCGGCTCAAGTGTCGGCGCCTAATTGAGAAGGGAAGAGAGAACGGATGCAAGCCCCGGTACGGAAAGTCGCAGGGTACAATTTCCTTCATCCTAGTTGCCCGATGGTGGGGGCGGGATGTGCGTAACCCAGAAGTAAAAGTCCGTTTCCCTCAGATATTAGACCTCGACCACAGGAAGTCCCGGCCGGACGACTTTTATCCAGGCTTTCCTGACTCCCCCTCAGCTCTATTCATCTCACTCCCTGCATCGTGGTGTTCTGTCGCCGCGGCCCCTTACATCCGACCCTCGTGACCTGGCCTGAGTTTTGCCGCAACTTCCCAGGGACCCCCGACAGCACCTGGGCCACCCTTCCCTTAAAGAACTTTTACCCTACGGGTCCCCATCGGGGTCAATTGACGTTCTTGGAAGGGGGAAAAGCCCCTGGGATTTGCAGCTCCCGAAACCTAGCACAGCCAGGCCGGCGCCTGCGCGGGGCGTTACCATAGAAAGCAGCCGCCTCTCTGGTCTCTGTTTGCACTCTCTATGGTCGAGCCTGGTCCGTGGCGGTAAAAGGGAGTCCGCACTGCGCAGGCGCCCTCGGCTTCTATTTTTTTTTTTTTTTTTTTTAATCCCCGCACCGAGAGCTTAACCTCATTGGGGTGGAGGAGAAGGCGGCGGCTCTCCGGTCCGCAGCGGCAACAGTAGCGAATAATACGACTGTAAGTACCCGATTAGGGCGAGGAGATTCAGACCCAGCCCTCCGAGGCCTTTGCCCCCTCGCCTGCCGGGGCGGACGCTGAGTCTGGGTGGGGGCGATGTCCAGCGCTGTCATCGGCTCTTGGGTGCACTTTGGGGGGAGGGGGCGGCCCTTAGGTGGGAGCGGGGCGGGGAGCGGGATGGGATGGTTGTTTATCCTACCCGTAGGTCCCTAATCCCAGGCTGCTTTGCAGAGGGAGGAGGGGGCGGCTGTGGGGTCAGCTCGGCTTTGTGTGCCCCTCTCTCTTTTCCTCTCCCAGACCCCACCCCAGGCCCCCTTCCTGACCCGAGTCTTCCCGGCCGGGTGGGAGAAGCCAGTGAACAGCCCAGTCGCGTTTGAAAAGAGCCGGGGATTGCGAGGGGAGGGGGCGAGGGAGAGAAACCCACAACAACTAGTCATCCGCGAGTGATGGGTGTGGAGAAAGATCCAGAGGGAAGGGGTGCCGGGGAGGCGGGCTGCCGGGGCTCCCAGCCGGGCCAGACAAAAGCTGAGCGAGCGGCGCCTAGCCGAGCTGGGGGCCGGGCGGGTTGCAGAGGGTCCCTTGGTCCCTGAGGCCCGCAGAGAGCTGATTTCCGAAGCCGGGAAAGCGGACAAGTGCTGAGTTACGCCTTGTGCAACCTCCTCAACTTGCCTTTGTTGTTCTTTGGTATTGGCAGAGCCGCTCTGACGAAGATGAGTGTGTGATCTTGCACGTTAGCCTGGTTGGGTACAATGGAGCTAATCGAATTTTGCTTTCCATTTTCCGAGCCGCTCGGATGAGTATGGGGCTTTCCAGAGTCTAACTTATTACATAATGTTATATATAAAATAGTTGTGTTTATTTCTCAGATTAAAAAAAAAACTAGGTGAAGTCCTTTGAAGCATGTTTTGTTGCATACGGGTGAATTTTTTTGTTTTAGTGTTCGTTCACTCAATACTGACCGTTTGTAGAACCTGTGAGTTCTTTAATTTGTAGATGTGGCAGTGAGAGCTTTGGATTCTGTAGTCCTTTGGGAGGCAGTGATGCAGAAGAGTCAGAAGGGAGAAATAGTTTCATGCTGCCATGTGCCTTGCACCCTATTCTGGTGCCACAGTATAAATTCTAGCTTTAAAGATTGTTGCTTTTATTACTATTATTATTTGTGACATTTACTGAGCTCTGGGTATGAGGGATCCTGGACAGTGGGCTCCTTTTGCTCATAAAGGGAGTGGGAGAATAGTAACATTGATGCAGAGACCTTATAGATAAAAACAAAACCACAATGTCCCAGAATTAGTGAATATTATTTATCTTCTCCATTTGCTAAGAAAGATTTAAATTTTTGTGAGCTGTTTGCTTATTCATTTTGGTAAAATCGTGTAACTGCACCATTCTTACCCATTGTTACTCAGATCTGTTTCTGTAATTCATAGTTTGTAAGCTAACATGGAGCAGCACTATTTCTGATTTTTAAAGTTTTTTTTTTTTTTTTTAAACTGAGTTTTCAGCCCTAGCTTTTTATTCTCCCAGCTAAAGTTAACCAAAGTTAGAAATCCTTTGAAGTGACCGTTGGTGGTGGGGGTGTCAAATATTGTATCTCCATGTTACAGTCTAAGCTGAGTGGTAAATACAGGAAAGGCCTTCGCTAACCTTACACCTTAAATTAGTGTTGGAACTGAAAACCCATATCTCAGGATTTGGGCCACAGACTCAACTTCTATCTAAAAGAGGTAAGCATTTTTTTTGTACTAAAGGAAAAAACTGAAGGTTGGTGTTTATGCTTCAGTAACCACTGCGATAGAATCTCTTAAGTGTAGTTTGGATGATGGGAACTTACTTTTTATAGAGCAAGATTTCAGATCCTTAAAATAGTTTGACAGGGACACTGAGAAATGATCGGCCAAAGAACATTAAGTTTATTGTTCATATGTATTACGTTTTGTTCATTGGTTTTGGGTTTAGATTTTTTTTTTTTCTTCAGTAGTTAATTCTATTTTCTTGGGTGGCTTAGTCTCACAGTTTATAAGTTGAGTGAGAGATAGTTTCTTGGATCTGAGACTTAAATTTGTTTCTGAGAGTCCATTTCTTAACAATCTTCTATTTATAAAATCGTTCGTAGATTATACTATTTTTAATTTAGTACTATTGATAAGTGGTATAAGCACTTAAGGGATTATAATGTTAGGCTAAGAGCTGAGTTATTAAAACTGCCAGTTTTGAAAACTGCAAGCAAAACAGAATCATCGAAAAGGTTTCTTTGAAAATAAGAGAAGGATTTATTAGTCTTATAAAAAAAAAAGAAAAAGAACTAAGCAAGGGAAAACTCATTGATGATAGAGTTTTTGGTGTGTAAAATGTAATTTGAGAAGGTAAACCAAACCTTTCTTCCCAGTGCAAGCAGGACAGTGTCCATAATGTGTGAGTGTGTTTGCCTGAATGACCTCCAAAGGCCTTCTTTTTTTAAAAGCCCTGGAGTTTAGTGGTTATTTCTGCTGGGTCTTCAGCGCTCCAGGGCTTGCCTGCTTCCTTTATGCTCAGACCGTACTGCTATACTGCAGGCTTTTCTTCTCCAGATCGTTATGGCAGCGCCAGTCCATCTCCCCCCATGCATCCCTAAAGATGTGGTTCACATGTGCTCAGACACGGACTTTCTTTCAGAATGCCTGTGTTGACTTCCCTCTTGTTTCCTGCCTGGAAATCTCATTCCTTGCTGATTCCTTTTGTATCCATTACCTTCCTCCTTGGGAGACTGATGCCTGTGCTTGTATTCTTTACATCCTCGAGGGCACTGGGAGTTTGTACGACACTGTGATATCCTCTGTACTTACTACCAGGACTTGTGTAACTAGGGACTTGTGTAACTAGTCACTTTAAATGTATGAAATGTGAAAGAATGAATAAATGTATGGTAACTTAGAATACTTTGAGCTTTGGAAGAACTCTTAGAGGCTCTGTAGACCAAACACTGTCCTACCTTTTGTCTACTCTGTTCTTATCATCAACCTTACATTGCAGATGTGCTTCTCTGTTACTGGACAGGTCTTGGTTGCTAGAAAGCTAATTTAGAGTGTACCAAAATCTGCCACTCCCCTGTTGGGTGTTCTTGGTTGTACCCCCTGAAGCAACATGAAGTCTGTTTCTTCTCCACATAATAGCCTTGCATTTCCTAGGACAGTCATCAAGCTGTCTGTAGATTTATTGATGAATTAATTTATTAAACTCTTTCTTAGTTAGCTATCAGGTATTATGAGGGTACAGCTGAAAAGACTACATGGTCCAGGGCTCACAGTCTGATAGAGGAACAGAATATTACAAAGTGATGCCAGTTACGCTGGAAGTATGTAAACAGCCCTAGATCCTTTGTCCCCTCGTGGTTTTTATAAAATTTTTTTTAAAGATTTTATTTTATTTTTTTAGAGAGTGAGCGGCTCCTAAGCTCAGATTTGCAGGGGAGAGGGGCAGAGGGAGAGGGAGAGAGACTCTCAAGCCAGTTCGGTGCTGAGTGCAAAGTCTGTGGGGCTCGATCTCACAGCGCTGAGATCAAGACCTAAGCTGAAACCAAGAGTCAGATGCTTAACTGACTGCGCCACCTAGATTTTAATTTTTTAAAGTAATCCCTATACCCAACATGGGGCTCAAATTTACAACCCCTAGGTGAAGAGTCCCATGCTCTTCAGACTAAGCCAGCCAGGTGTCCCCTCCCCTCATGGGGAAATCAGATTTTACCGCCCTGTTTTCTTTAGGCAAATGCAGTGTCTGAAAAGAAACAGAATTTGAGGTGACCTGACCAGAGTATACAGCTGTTGTCTTAAGTTAAGAAACTGTATCAATGGTTTTCAAACTTTGTTGTACATTCTGGCTCTGCCATTTACTAGCCCTGTGACTTTGGACCATGGGCCTATTAAATAATCTCTTTGTATTTTAATAATTTCATCTGTAAAACAAGGGCGAAGGGAGGGCAGTATTAACAGTACTTATAGGGTTGTAAGGATTAAGTGAGATAATATATGTCAAGTGCTCAGAGTAGTGACTGGTATATAGTAAGTGGATATACATGGTATTCCTCTATGTCTTTGTGTAGGAGTTAGTATTAGAAAATTAGAGTATAAGAATATTATTGTATTAGAGAATTAATGATAACATAGCATAAGAAGCAATAATCAAGTCATAGAATCACTTGAATTTGTTAAAATACAAATGGTCTGAACTTATTTATTCCTGTCCACTCAGAGATTTTGGTCAATTAAGTCTGTGAGACCTGGACAGCCACAGTTGAACAACCCCCAGGTGGTTCTTAAAAAAAACCTCAAAACCCAAAATTAACACTCTGTGTTAATTTTGTTAGTGATTGCATTTGCTTTTACAAATTAAAAATTTACCAAGTAACATATGAATAGATTCTCCTGAAAGACTGAAACAATGCAGGGGAGCCTGGGTGGCTCAGAAGATTAAGCATCTGCCTTCAGCTTAGGTCATGATCCTAGAGGCCTGGGCTGGAGCCCCACATCAGGCTCCCTGCTCAGCGGGGAGCCTGCTTCTCCCTCTCCCTCTGCTATTCTCCCCGGCTTGTGCTCTCTGGCTCTCTCTGTCTCTCGATCAAATAAATAAATTAAATCTTAAAAGAAAAAAAATATGGAAACAATGCAGATAAAGGTAAGGGTTTGGCCCCAGATCTCAGGCCCCCTGGGAGGCATATCCACTTATCAGTTTGAAATGTACCCTTCTAAACAACTGTTCCTCTTTTTGGTAGCTACACATATGTGAGTATCTTCTTAATAATAAATAATAGCCAGATTTAAGGGAAAAAACACCCAATTTTCAAAGCACTTTTACGTTCATAATCATCTTTGCTCCTCTCCTAAAAGTTCTTTGAGGTAGATGGGGAAGATAACATCATGATCCTACCAATTTACAAATGAGAAACTAAGATCTGCAGGTTGACGCTCAGTCTGAGATAGCGCCAAGAGAGCCAGGCCTTCAATTTCTCAACTTAAATGTTCTTT